AGATATTGTCGCAGCGGACTAGGATTTATTTTCTGTAATTAGAGATTAAAATAGCCCCTTTTACAAGTTTCGTATCAAGCCTTTTGTGTTTTTCGACCCGCCCTAATGTACCCACATGCAGCCATGTAGGTACATATGCATGTGTTTACATTCCGCCATTCGCCCACATTTGCGCTTTCGTTGAAGGCACTCATTTATTGCTGTTTGCCGCTTCATCTGCTGCCTGCTGCCTGCTGCAATGCCGTCCTAGTGCTCGTCGTCGTCACAATCTTCGCAATCGTCGCTGCTGCTGTCGCATGATAGGCAATCTTGCGAAAGGCTGATTGCATGTCATTTTCACTTGATTCTTCCACTTTCCATTTGGCCATTGGCTACGGCTTTCCTTGATTTTTTTTTTTGGCAATTGACGGCTCTCCCATGGGACAGCTGTAGTTGAGTGAAATTTTGCTTCGCATTTCGTTTATTAAATTTTGGTGATAAATATATGCAAAACTACGGTGGTTAAATCGGTTAATAGATATGCAGTTTATGAGGAAATCTCACGAGTTGTTACATTTTTCGACAAAAACGTGTTTGTTAACGAAAATGGTGGTGGGATAATAATATCCTTAAAAGAGTTTAAAAAATCCTTAAAAAATAATTAACATTTAAACAGTCCTTACAAAAGGATACATAATATTAAAAATCCATATAAAATGATAAATGTTTAAAAAATCCTCATAAAAGATAAATAATTTCAAATATGCCCAAAGAAGCATAGTAATATCCTTAGAAAAGGATAACAAAATTCTTAAAGAAGGATAAAATTTTAAAAGTCGTTACATCAGGATAAATAATTTTTAAATCTTTACTAAAGGGATAATAATTTAAAAAATCCTTATAGAAAATAAAATATTTTAAATATCCTTAAAAAAGGATAATAATATCCTTAAAAAAGGATACACATCCTTCAAAAAGGTTTAAAGCTTAAAAAGTCCTATAAAAGGGTAAATAATTTTAAAAATCTTTATTAAAGTATAAATAATTAAAAATCTGCAAAAAAGGATACCTATATCCTTTTAAAGGATAAAATTACAAACACTATTCCTTAAAAAATTTTAAAATAAACTTAAAAAATATTCTTAAAAAAAAATAAAGTATTAAAATATTAAAAAAAAAATACTAAGATATTCTTAATAAAAATATAGAATTATCCTTACAAAGGAATTAAAAAAAAAAAAAAAAAATTATATATATATTTTTATCAAAAGAAAGTACATAATAATAATATGCGTGCAAAGAAGGCGCCGCAATTTTGAGGGTAATGCGCGGTCGTAACTAGCGACAAACATAATTGAATTTTATTTTTTAGGGTTTTTGTATTTATCGCAACTCCGTTTTTTAGAGGGGAGAAGTTAATAAGGGATGGGGGCTATATTAATATAATTTTGTTTGTTTAAATAAATTTTTGAAAAACTATCCGTAAAATATACTTAAAAACTTTTTTGTAGAAACGAGTATTTCATATATTTTTTGGATAAATAAAGTAAACTATAATTTGAAATATTTGTTTTCAAAACGGTATTTCAGCAGTGGTAAATTTTGTAAAAATTCAGTTATTGCCAAATTGTTGAACTGAGAAAAATTAGTATAAAAAAAAAAAATTACAATATATTTTCGTCTGGTGAAAGTGGTCTCCTGATTGTTATCTTCCTGACGGTAGGAGAAATTAGTTATCTTTGTTTGTATGCAAAATTTTACTTCCATATATTTAGAATTTAATAGGCATTACTAAAAATTTAAGCGAAAGTCCTACCTAAATACATTTATACATATTTCTCGAAATAACTACTGTCACTGCTCCGAAAAATTTATGTTTTCATCTCTAAATTTAATTCAATTTTAAATACTACAGGGAGCAAAAATTTTCCCCGCAATAATTGCTCATGGCAAATATTTTAGTTTTAAGTGTTCGTCGGCATAACTCTATATTTGCATCAGCATGACATATTAAGTTTCCCTCCCACGCACACATTTACTCAAACTAACCGCTTAGTTGTGGGAAAACTCTTTTATCATACATACTTACTTACTTACAAACATATGTATGTATGTCTCCACTAAAATCACTGTTGAAGGACCCTCAATGCCGTAGGACAACTGTGATATGGACAGCAATCATTCCCGAGCTGACAAGAACAAAAAAGATACTTACATACACACAAGTTGAAATTCATTTGTGTGTACATTAAAAATCATCGCCGAAAGGGATTCTTACATACTTTTCACCAATTTTGTAAATATATAATTCTACTTGTGTCTGAATTATGTGTTTGGGTACTGATTATTGACACAGATATATTGTTACGGTTTCATGGCATAATATTTATATACTGTAAGTATGTAAATATGTCCCTTTTGATGACTTAAAGTCAACAAATGTTTCTCCTATAAATGGCACAAACGTAAGTGTAAATAAGTGATCAGATATGAGCACATACAAACATGTATACACATACATAAATATGTGAGAATGGTTTTGAATATGTACGTTATAGATATTCAAGGACGTGCGCTAAAGTCAAACTAGTCAAAGGCTTAAACAGGGAAGCTGTAAAAATATTTTTAATGGCAGTGATTGCTTTTTCTAGTTGTGGGAAGCGAGGAAAGCGCCTTGACGTATACATCATTGAGTAAAAGGCTTAGGTAAAGGTAAGGTAGGGGTAGACTCCCCACCTTAACAAATGATCTAAATAGTTCCAACATTCGTATAAGCAATTACATAAAGTATAACAAATGGGAAAGAATTCCCACCATACAGCTGTGTTACTCTTAAAAGAAATGAACGAACCCTTAATTCAGGAGGTGCTTCTGCCCGGCTGATTACTAAGGCTGACATCGCCGCTCTCCAAGAACTGCTACTACAGCCGCCCCGTAAAGGAACACAAATTCGGTGTTGAGTGTATAGTGGGAGAAAGGCTCCGTCGCCGAGTGTTGGCGTTCACCCCAGTCGCGCAGAGACTTGCCACAATCCGCATTAGAGACAGACTCTTCAATCTCGCTCACTCTCGTCCAAGCGCCGATGGAAGAGAGCTGCCGTTTTAGCGATTTCAATGTCATCGTAGGCAAGGAAGGGATCTTTGGACACGCCGATGGAAAGCCCAGCCTGCAGGATGAAACATTCGGTAACGAACTGGCATTGATCGACATCTCCAGAGCCCGGAGCATGGTGTCTACAGCACTAAGTTCCAACAGAAGGATATTTATAAGATACATGCCTGCCTCCATATCGAAAAACAGGAAACCAAATCGATGATGTTGTAATAGACGTAAAGCATTCGTACAGTTTTTTAGACGTGAGGGCTATACGAGAACTTAACATCGTCTGGGACCACTACCTTGCTCAACGTTAAAAATCCGAAATCACAACATATAGCCAGCATCTTTGCTACTCGGTCTTAACACCAAATCTTTGAGAGCACTCTTAAACAAACATACTTATGCGAGTAGTGGAATCACATTTCCTGCTCAGTACGTACCGCCGCCAAAGAAGTAACCGCATTCCAGATGCCGGCTATAGGGCCACGCTACGATCGGACACAACTCGAGCTACATGTGTGGGATCGTTATAGGGAACTGAAGAGAGAATAGAGAAATAAGAGGCCGAAACGCGTGAGCGCGAATAAGTAGCTGGAATTGCTGGACGACATCAAAAACGCCCGAAAACTTTTGCCTTTTTATTGCCCGTTCCTTGGTGTTTGTTCTCAAATTAATGGCCTTGGACTGCAAATTATTAAAAAAAAACACAATTATTACAAAATGGATATCAGTCAAAATGGTTTTAAAAAGCTTCGTTTCTTAACTTAACTGTAGAAGATGCCACCTGTTTCAAAAATTAAATTCAAATTGAATAAAGGGAATTAGGTAAAAGAAATATGTATCACCATATAGATACGAAAAAAAGGTGTTTCAGAAGGTAGTAGTTTGAAAAAAATATTTTGAAGAGTGTTTCCACCTGCTCGAATGTCAAATTTACACTCCTTATAGGCAAGTTATATGAAATTTCAAAATATGCATGTCAAATGAAAGAGTGTTAAGAAATCTTTAGTTTGAACCCTAAAATATTTTTGAGTTGTTGGATAAGGGTTTAAAAAGTTATATTCAAATTACTTAATAAGTTAAAGGAACTATTAAAATATGCGTATAAATCTAAGGGGTTTGAAAAACCTGAACTATATTTGGCGGGGTTGCCACATGTTCGAAAATGAAATTCAACTTAATTCAATATTGTATTAAAATTTCTGCCGCAAAGTTAGACGAAGGAGAGTTAACAAGGTTTTAGCTTTTGAATATGGTTGCCATTTGTTGAAAAAGTTAAATTTAAATCATTTTAAAAATTAAATGAATTATTAAAAGATGAGTATCAATCGACATTTATTTAAGAGGGTAGCTACGTGTTCGAACAATAAAATTCTACTTAGTTCATCAGTTTATTTAAATGCATTTGTATAACAACATCAGGCTAAAGGGATTCAAAAAGCTTTTAGTTTGAGAATACTTTTGAAATGGATTTCCACCTCTTTGAATAGTCGAATTTAGCTAAATTATAGACACGTTTTATGTAATATTAGAATATGGGTGTCAATCGAACAAGATTTATGAAAGCTTTAACTTGAAAATATCTTTGATTAGGCTGGTCACCCTTTCGAAAAGTCCTATCGATCTAACAATATGTATTATACGAGAAGACATTTTTTGTGATAGTCAAAAGATTTGCACCGTTCTTTCGAATTTAAAAAATAAGACATGCAATTAAAGACCTTAACCTGTAGATGGCCGATAAAGTTTACTCATTTTTTAGATTTTTCAAATTCAATTTTGCGCGTTTTAACGCCATGCGAGCTCACTAGTTTCTTAAATTTTTCTTTGGCATTAGTTTGTATCGAGATTTTTCGTAATAACTAATTTTACATCCGGCCCCCACTAATCGCAAACTTTTGTTTTTGTACTTTTTGTTACAGCACCCGATCACAGCAACTACCGCAGCGATGCGAAATCGGCTACAAACAAACATGACGCCGATTTGCTGACCGACGACAACGAAGCCATACACGGTGCTGCCTGTACCACAGCTAGTACGCATGCGCTGGTGCGTTATGTAGGCGTGGCGCTATTTATAGCATTTTGTGTGCGTGTGTAGCAAATATTGAGTCGATATTAGCAGGAGAAACAACAACAATGGCAAACACCACAGTGAAGGCGAGAGCAGTAATGTGGTACAAAAAGTGTAAATTTAACTAAAATAATAACTAAATAGAGTGGACGTTAAGGTTTAAAGAAAAAAACAATTAAATACAGAAGTAAGGTAACTTAACTCTATTTACTTGTACATGTTGCAAGAAAATGCTTGTTTCTTTGATTGTTTTATGTTAGGGGCCGAAATTATATACGTACATATATTTATCAGTTTAAAAAAAAAAGTTTACCTCAATTTTTCAATGAGTATTTTCACAAATATTTAAAGCCAAGATTTTGGTTCACAATTACTTGCCGCCGTATTCAACAGAGAAACCGTCAAACTCAATTATAAAATAATTAATTGTATAGAGCAGTTGATTAAAGATAAATTAACTAAAATATGTGCATAGTGAAGTAAAAAGATTTATGTAAACTAGTACACTTTGCTTAGTTGCGGGCTTCATGTACACGCACACAACCGTAGAAATAGACAAAAAGTACACATTTATACATACATACATACATATGAAAATTATACATAGATTTAAATTTAGCGACTAAATGCTGCATTAATTGAAAATGTAGTATGTATTAGCTGTGCTGTGTAACGGTGTAACACCGCACAATTGTTGATTATGATGCTGAGATTTATGAAATATTTAAAATAAATATAAGTATATTAACTAAGCATTAGTAATAGAACATATGTACGTACTGAGGCAACTTGCTAGGGTAATATATATCAAAACTAATTCAAGCAAAAAAAAAAAACTAAAATTAAAATAATAAACTATTATATTTGAGACTTGATAGCCTGCCTGCTTTACTTGATGGAGTAAAAGTTTTTAAATTTCCTGACTATTTTAATTTTTTGGAGACAAATTCACATTTCTTTGTTTCTTTCTACAGGTATTAAAAAATTGGAGGGCTCACATCTGCAAGACTATTATAAAGTGTGCAAAGCAAAAACAAAGCAGCATCCAATTTTTTCTAACTCACAGCACCGGTTTTTATCTCATCACCCCATTTTCAAAATTTTCATCTTAGAGCTAACTAATATATAAAAAAATATAAAATAAAATACATGCATGGGAAAAAGTGCATACAGGACGACGCAAAAAGACAAAACAACTGTTCTCAGTAGCATATTAATAGTTCTTGAATTGCTGGGAAGGAAAAAGAAAGATCTGTAAAATTACGCCGAAAAAAAATCAAAAAACTCGAAAAGTTTAATTTTTGAAAAAAAATAAACATTAAAAAAAATATGAGTAGCCTATAGTTCTAAAGCTCCAGAAAAGAAAAAAACTACTACAAAATTTTACAAAAAAAAAAAAATTTTTTTTTAAATTTAATAAAAAAGAAGTTATGCGAAGTTACGACGATAAAAACTTTTTTTCGAAAAAGTTAAATTAATAACAAAAAAAATATTACATCTGTTCTAAGTAGCTTTTCAATATTTATAGTTCCCGAAAAGAAAAAAAAAAGTTGCGAAAAGAAAAATGCACTTTTTCAAAAAAGCCGAAAAAGTTTAATGTTTGAAAAAAATAAAACTTAAAGCTGTTCTGAGTAGTAGTAGTAGTAGGAGAAAAAAGTTTTCCAAAATAACACCGAAAAAAAAACCGAAAAACTTTAACGTGTTTAAAATACAACTTTAATGAAATTCAAAAACTGTTGAAAAGATATTCACAACAGTTTTAATGTAAATGTTTTTCAAAAAATATAATTTTCGACTTTTAGGAAAATTATGTTTTTTTTCTGTGTAATTTTGCAGAACTTTTTTTCCCTTTCAATGTTTTTTTTCGGTGTAATTTTGCAAAACTATTTTTCCTTTTCCGGAAATCCAGAACTATTGAAAAGCTACTCAGAATAGTTAAAATTTTGAAACAATTTTTTTTTTTGTCAAAATATCCAAAATTTTTTTCCTTTTCAAGAAATTTAAGACTATTGAAAAGCTACTTAGAACAGTTTTTTTCCAAGAACCTCTACTTTTAACCCTTCTTAGACACCTTTGGTACAACTGTACGAATTTGGATTTTGAACACAGATGTATGTATAGCAATTTGTTTTTATCTCTGTATCTTTTTATCTCTTTAATTGCGCACACTCGGCCTTATGAATAAAACCTAAGCAATTGCTTTTTATTAAAATTTCAGAACTTTTCCTCGATTTTTTCAAATAAACTTAAGTAAAATTTCTGTTATGATAAAAAAAAGCAATTGCGCATTTTGGCTGCATTTTTTTATTCATTCTGAACGGTTGGAATAAACTTTTTTGTTTACTTATTCTTTAGAACGTTCCTGATGATATGTTAACGTATATTTCAAACGCATTCGGTTTATTCTGGCTGTGAAATGGGATTATCTGGAAAGAATAAAAAAACGCAGCCCTTATAAATATTAGTTATACATTCAGGGCCGTAGCTAGTGGGGGCGGTATGAGAAAGGGTGGCGCAGAACTGCGATAACAACCATACTAAATATTTTTATCCATTTTAGATCAATGAAATGACTTTCAGCGAAAAGAAAAGGAACTGAACTTATTTGGATATCACGAAACTAATTTTAAGCATTGTCGTCCTTCACCTCTATGATATAAATAAAAACAATTATTTCTTGATTGGTTGGTTGGTTTGAGTGATTTTTAACTGCAGGAATGATCAGCCAAGTATCTTTAGCCTCAATCTTGTAAGAGTCGGGCATTCGCAGAGAATGCACTCAACAGCCTCTTTTGACCCCGGATCTTTTCAGTTGCGGCAAAACGTACTAAAATGTTGGACAACCCTTTAGGCATGCACCCACACAGTCCAGAGTGACTATCTAAGAAAATGCTCTCGTGCAATACCGGCTCCTTAAAAGAAAAGCTTTACACCTGAAAGCACGAACTTCAGATAGAGTTGCTTGGTAAAAATCCTTACATCTACTTCCCAAGCTCCCATCCCTTATTACACTGATCCAAACCGAATAGCATGCCATATAGTCTATCATTTCTCTTCCAATAAAATTGAAATGAAATCCAATATATGTAGTATGGCTTAAACAGTTTTTTTTAGAGCGGGCACTTATTCAAGTCGATTAAAATAATGAAGTACATACATATTTAATTACAATGACAAAAATTAAATATACATATACTAGGTATGTAATACATATAATGTTAAACGCTAAAAAACGTAACTCACAGCAAAAAAATACGAATTTAACAATGTTATCATAAGCATTGTAACTTCATCATAATAAAAAATAAAAAAATAAAAGCTTATAATAAACTGAAATCGAAAACCAAATGGCGAAATATTTAAATCAATGTTAAAAAGTAGATTTTAATGCGATAAAAATTGTTTAACCAAACATATACATATGTACATAGTTGTAATAAAACTAAACCTTTCAAAAAATTTGTTCAAAAAATGTATTACTGCAGCTCTCACTTTTTGTCGTTCATTTTATTGTTTTTTAGTCTCAATGTTTATTTTAAAAGTGTTAGAGAATTTGACATTGACAGTTGACAAGTGTTGTGCTAAATTAACGCTGAAAAATGCTTTTTTATTTTGGCAAATATGTGAAAGAAAAACTAAGGTTCCAAGTGGCTAAGTATGTAGATAAATATAAATCAGTCAAATCAGGGTGGAAAATTAGTAAACTTGGTAATGTAAAAATTAATTTGCGAGAGTCAGGAGCTGTGGAATCGCTGCCATCTTTAAAAAAGGGGGAAAAAATTTTTTCTTCCTCAGCAGAACTGTAATTTTAGGACTTCAACCGAGCTCAAGGTTAGTATTTAAACTTGGAACTCAAATCCCAGACGGACTTTGGTCCATCGCATACTTTTTTTACAGGTTGTTAAAGGTGTGTCTTTTACGGAAAATATTATTTTTTTTGTCATGAAATATTACGTATTTAATTACTGTTTATCTCTCTTTATTCGTAGAAGTTTTTTTTATTTTCCATGATCCCCTAGTAAAATTGTTTGCTTAAAATGTTTGTACCAAGAGCAATGAATGTATCGAGTTTGGTAGAAATTTATAAATCTGTTATTGATATACACACATTTTTAGTGCTTATCAGAACCTAACAACACTCATCTAATGACGAGACTTGACTATTTCTTTTATTATTTTTAAAATTTTAAGTATTTTTTCATCAAAATATAGTTTATTCTTTAACCAAAACCGTATAAATTCAAATTTCAAGCTTCGTGCAACATAAACAAAAAAAAATCAACAAACTTTCGTAAAAATTCAAGAATGTATATTAATTTGCTTTAATAGATATTACAGAAATATTTAAATTTGGATTTAAACGGTTTAGTTAGGGAATAATCTATACTTTTATAAAAAAAAAAACAAAAACAAAATAATGAAATCAAAAAAATAAAAATGAAATAAATCGTCAAGTCTTGTCAATATGTGAGTATTGTATAGTTATGATAAGCACTAGGCACCCTGAAATTGTGCATATGGAAACTGTGCATACGAAATAATGCATATGAAAAAACCGAAATAATGCATACGAAAAAAACCGAAATAGTGCATACATGAAAACGAACTTCTTTCTGAGTAGGCGGCCTTCGGCCGCGCTTAGGGATTATAACCCTTACTAAGTAGAATTCTCCTTTCTGTGTTGTCGGAAAAGGGGGCCGGAAGTATTTTTGCACAGAACTTCTTTCTGCGTAGGCGGCCTTCGGCCGCGCTTAGGGATTATAACCCTTACAAAGTAGAATTCTCCTTTCTGTGTTGCCGGAAAAAGAAGGGCGGAAGTATTTTTGCGCAGAACTTCTTTCTGCGTAGGCGGCCTTCGGCCGCGCTTAGGGATTATAACCCTTACAAAGTAGAATTCTCCTTTCTGTGTTGCCGGAAAAGAAGGGCGGAAGTATTTTTGCGCAGAACTTCTCTCTGCGTAGGCGGCCTTCGGCCGCGCTTAGGGATTATAACCCTTACTAAGTAGAATTCTCCTTTCTGTGTTGCCGGAAAAGGGGGCCGGAAGTACTTTTGCGCAGAACTTCTTTCTGCGTAGGCGGCCTTCGGCCGCGCTTAGGGATTATAACCCTTACTAAGTAGAATTCTCCTTTCTGTGTTGCCGGAAAAGGGGACCGGAAGTATTTTTGCGCAGAACTTCTTTCTGCGTAGGCGGCCTTCGGCCGGGCTTAGGGATTACAACCCTTACTAAGTAGAATTCTCCTTTCTGTGTTGCCGCGAAAGGGGACCGGAAGTATTTTTGCGCAGAACTTCTTTCTGCGTAGGCGGCCTTCGGCCGCACTTAGGAATTATAACCCTTACTAAGTAGAATTCTCCTTTCTGTGTTGCCGGAAAAGGGGGCCGGAAGTACTTACCGAAATAATGTCTAAATGCACAGTTTCCATATGCGCAATTTCGGTACCCCTAAGCACCATAGTAGGCAATAAGAGGGCGGTGCCATTAACCAAGAATTTTGCGATAATAACATTGCAAACATCTATTTTCAGTGAAGTAGCTTCGGAAGTCACTGCTTTATCGCACTCTTAGTATTTCTAAAAAATATACCGTTATATGGGAGGTGGGCGTGGTTCTTGTCTGATTTCAAAAAACTTTTAGTGAGACTCTAAGCAATGTGCGCACTGAGTTTGGTGCAAATTAGTAAAGGGACTACAGAGATATGTTAGTGAGCATCGCTACGTCTATTTTCCGAAATTTTAATAATTGCCTTTGGTTTTTTTTGCATTTTATTATTATTATTTTTTTTTTTTTGAAAATACCGTTATATGGGAGATGAGCGTGGTTACAGACCGATTATTACGATTTTCATTACCAACCCATTTTGGATAAATAGAAATATTCGCAAAATTGCAAGTTTTACTTG